AGTATAAAAGCAACTACGATCCATCCATGTCCCGAAATTCATTTTAGCTGCAAGATGGATATGTCGTTTGCAGAAATTGAGAGATGTGCTCATTAATTATATTTTTTAACGAATCAATACAATAATTTCTGATTTCACTAACTTGATATCATATAACTTATGTCAATTCAATCATTCTTTGTCACATGACCAACCTTTCTAACTTGCTTAAATTAGGGGATCTATGTTTGAGGTCACTTCGTTGGAAAAGAAGTAAAATATTTGAGAAATCAACAGAACGACACAAGAGTTGTTAAACGACATTTGTGTCATTTTGTCTATAAACACAAATATACGTAACCACGATCCATCCATATCTCGAGAATCAATAAGTTGAATTCATTTCAATTGCACTATGAACAATCCGTTTACAAAAGTTGAGAGATGTGCTCATTGATTATATTTTTTAACGAATCAATACAATGACTTGTGATCTCACCAACTCAATGTCAATTCAACTATTCTTTGTCTCATGATCAACCTTTCTAACTTTTTTAAGTTAGGAGATCTAATGTTTGAGATTCCTATATTTGAGAAATCAACAAAACGATATAAGAGCTATTAAATGGCACCTATGTTGTTCTGTCTATAAACACGAGTATACGTAATCACAAACCATCCATGCCTCGAGAATCAATAAGTTAAACTCATTTAGATTGTAATATGGACATGATATTTACAAAAGTTGAGAGATATGCTCATTAATTATATTTTCTAACAAATCAATACAATGATTTGTGATTTCACCAACTCAATGTTGTATAATCAATACTAATTCAACCATTTTTTGTCTCATGATCAACCTTTCTAACTTTCTTAAGTTAGGAGATCTAATGTTTGAGATTGTTGCGTTGGAAAAGAAACAAAATATTTGAAAAATCAACAGAATAACACAAGAGCGGTTAAACAACACTTATGTCATTTTGTTTATAAAAATGAGTATATGTAGCTCACGGCCTATCCATGCATCAAGTACCAATAAATTAAACTTATTTATGTTTTAAGATGAACATGATATTTACAAAAGTTGAGAGATATACTCATTAATTATATTCTAGCACCTGTTTGGCCCTCATTCTCATTTTTTTTCTATCTCTTATTTTTAACTACACAATCTTCTATAAAATAATATTATACGCAAATAAAAAACTTTTCATTCGTTTTCAAACACACAATTTAAAAAAAAAATACTATTCCAATCATTAAAATTTGAAAAGAATGGGGGCCAAACGGGGGCCTAATGAACCAGTGGAATAACTTATGTTTTCATCAACTCGATATCATATGATCCATGTCATTTAAACCATTCTTTGTCACGTGATTAACATTTCTATCTTACATACGTTAATGGATCTAATGCTTGAGGTTGTCGAGTTAAAAATAAATCAAAATATAGAAAAAATCAACAGAATGACATAAGTTCCATTACTAAGACGAAAACGACCCTATGTCGTTCTATTTGTAAACACGATTATAAAATAGCCATGTCCTATTTATGTTTCCAAGAATCAATAAGTTAAACTCATTTAGATTGTAAGATGAACATGATATCTACAAATGTTGAGAGATATGCTTATTATTTATATTTTAATTAACCAGTAGAATAATTTATGCTTTTACCAACACGATATGACATAATCTATGTCATTTCAATTGTTCTTTATCATGTGAACAATTTTTTCATTTTAATTATGTTAGAGGGTCCAATGCTTGATGTCTTTGCCTTGAAAATAAATCAAAATATTGAAGAATTCAACGGAACGACATAAGTGTCTTTATTGAGAAGAAAACGACCATTGTATCATTCTATTTGTAAATACAAATACGAGCAGTCACGCCCAATCCGTGTCTCAAGAAATAATAAGTGAAACTTGTTTTACTTTGTAATATTCACATGAAATGTACAAAGGTTAAGAGATATGCTTATTAATTTAATCGACGCATATGAGTAGGATGACTTGTGCTTTCACCATTTCGATAATATAAAAGTTATTTCATTTCAACTATTATTTATGATATGGTCAATATTTCTATGTTACATACATTATGGAATCCATTATTAGATGTTATTATATTGAAAAAGATTAAATATAGATAAAAACTTCTGAACGGTACAAGTATCGTTACTGAACATAAAAATCACACGTGCTGTTACATGTGTAAACACGACTATAAGCAGTCATGATCCATTCGTGTCCCTAAAAAATAATAAGTAAAACTTATTTATATTGTAATATGCACATGACATGTACAAAAGTTAAGAGGTACGTTCATTAACTTATCGACACATATGAGTAGGACAACTTTTGATTTCACCAACTCAAAAATATAAAAGCTATGTCATTTCTACATTTCTTTGTGACATTATCAATTTTTCTGTGTTATTTACTTCAGGAGTCCATTATTAGATGTTTCGTTAAAAAAAAATTACAATAAATAACGACTGTAGTGCTGTTTTACGTAACGGATAATAACTGTAGTGGTGTTCTACATTTCGGATAACATTGGAGTCCCATTACCATCCAATAGTTGCAGGCAACACAAAAAGCACACCAAGTACAAAAACAACTCCAACTTAAATATTAGTTAATAATATATTCAATAGTAAATGTACAATTTACATAAGATTTCTAAAATTATCTTTCTTTTTTCTTCAAATATAAATGAGATATTACAATATAAATGATAAATGTTCAAAAGATACCTAAGTAAGTGAAGAATATAAAGAAGAATAGGATTTTAGAGTAGTAAGAATAGTTGAAGAGAAGAAAACGGGTTTCTGTGATTTTAGGGGCGAAAATAAATTGAGGAATTTAATTGGATTAATAAGAGTGTTTGGGTCTTTTTTCAATATTGAGGGTATTTAGGACTTTTGACATCATTTTTTTATTGTATTTTGTAAGTGAAGGCCATTTGACCAACATTGATGGAAAGTTATTTAACTAATAACATTCTTTGACTGGATTATTTAACAAACTTCCCCTTTTTTTTTTGGTTGTCTAATATAGCCCTTGTTTGAGCCCATTTTTGTCTTAAAAATACATTTTTGAATAGTGAAATGTGTGATAAAAAATAAGAATTTTTTTTGAATTTACTTGTAATATTATTTTATTAAAAAAAATGTGATTAAAATGATGTTAAAATACTGTTTAAAAATGTATTTTTTTCTAAAGAATGAGACTCAAATAAGGCATAATGAACGATCATCTAGGTGCTCAATACCGGTCTCTTTGATATTGTACAATAGGTTCAATGAATGGTGAACCACAATACTATAATATACTACGTGATAGCCTGAACGAAAGGTGAAATTAAGAGGGTGGATTAATTTTATATTTGAGAACTTTAAAAAGTTTAGGTTCATTGAATTAAGAGTTTAAAAACTGTCTAAAAGTTTGTGTATTCGATTGAGATTTCTATAGATAAGTAGACATTTTAGTGAAAATTTCAAATATCAAATATCAAATAAAATCTCTCATATATTCTTAGATTTGTGAATATTTTAGATAAAAAAGGCTTCTTTTTTCTTTCAATTCTAGGATTTTCTCCCGCCGCTTTAATTCCATGTGACTCAATTAATCGAATTTCTTATTTAAAGTTACATTAATACCACTTCAATTGGTATTTTAACTGGATCAAACATCTGACTCTTAGTAATTTACTAATGTAAAATGGGTCAAGTGCCAATAATTTTCTTGTTTGTTTTTTTTTTCCATCCTTTGCAACGAGGTTTTCAATGACAGATTGGGCTTGGCCAGTGGACTTGAGAGGCTATTAATTTAAAAATTAAGCTCCTTGGACATGTTGTATTAATGGGAAATTTAATAGATGATGAGGTGTTAATACTGGATTGATTAATTTTGATGTCATTTTTTATTTAACATTCAATGAAAGGGTAATTTGCACAAAACGTTCCTACCTTTCAACTCTATTGTGGAAAACGTACATACCTTTTATTTTTTGACATTTTCCCTCATTTCAACATTCCTTTGTGCTGGACGTCCTTCCGTCCACACACTACAACAGAGTTTGCTTGCATGCCGTAAAACATTGTTTATGACATTTAGGCGCATGCCGTAAATATTCATATTTTTTTATGGCATTCTATGCATACCGTAAAAAGCAAAAAGCATGCCATAAATGTAGCAGTTATGACATGCCGTAAATGCTAAACCTTTTTATGGCATGCGTCTGCATGCCGTAAAAGGATAATATTTTTTTTAAGGCAAACATTTTTGCATGTCGTAACTACTCGTCTCATTTTTTTATGGCGTACACTGGCATGCCGTAAAATGGTGAAATTTATTTACTTTTTTCCACCATAAAAGTTCATTTTTTTAATATTTATTATTCTATAACCATTAAACCTATAATAATTAAGAAACTTAATTCTGAATATCAACACATGTATAATCACTTCTTCCATAATTACAATAAATAAAACTAATACAAATGTCAAAATATAGAGTTAATTTTGAAACGAACTAAGAACATCATTAGCCTACTCAAATAGTTGATATCAATATTCAAAAGTATAGGCAACTAATCCAAAAATAAATAATTAAAATAGTACAAAATAATTGATCCACATTGATTTTGATTAATTTGATCAGCAATTTTGTTGTCCCAAAAATAAGCAACTCCCTGCACATCACAAAAATAAATGAATGTATAGTTAATAAATTAAAGTGAGTACACAAATGAAAAATGATATAAAAACCAAGTGAAGCATACATTTGTTTTTCTTACAATTAATCCATTTTGATAAACTTGATTGGCCATGCAATTGTACTTCCTAATGCATCTTCAAGAAGAAATAGTTCACGTGTGGGACGATATAAGGTAACATTGTCAATAACTTCATTAACCCAACCTCTCCAACATTCATTGCCAAGGGATACATGATGCATTAGATCACAAGGATTTGTTGATACGATTTCACCTTTTACAACTACATTAGCTTTCCCAAACCAACATAACAATTTGTATTTCTTACTCTGATAATTATCTAAACCATTCGAGCTTCTATCACTATGTTGTAAAATTCATATGAAAGTACAATTTGATAATTTGAATATAGAAAAGAATATAAAGTATAGAATATCAACCGATAGTTTCGCACTTACATTTTCTTGTTCAACACTTTTACTCTTCTGTTGAAATAAAGCTTTCAATTCTTTAATTTCATCTCTTAACTCTTGTACTTGAGTTTACAAGTTCTGACTTTGTACCAAAGCATTCAACTTTGAAGGAGTTGCACCGAAGCCAAGCCCTCTTACTCATCCTCGACATTCCAAACCAAGTATTCTTGCAACACCATCATCTTTGAGAGATTGTTTACTTGGAGAGGTAACTGTTTATGAACAAGTTTTTATTTTTTTCTGATATCAAGAATTACATTAATGGTTTAAAGTAATGCAAATATAAACTTTGAATTACCAGAAGAAAATTCAAAGAACAAATTCGTTACCAATGTTTCTCCAACTGAGTCATTAATTGATTCACCATTTTTTCGCATCAGTCCTCGAATATAAATATCATCTCTTGTAATGGAATCAAGTGCTGCAATTTGTTTTACCCATTCCGTATGCATGATAGTTTGTACACATTGACAAATTTTCAAGCAAATTTAACTTATAATTGAACATAAATTTTACCATTTTTGCTTCTAAGCGGGCAAAGCCTTTTGTACTTGTTGTATGCAACATAGTTTGACTAGCTCTCATCTTTTTAAACCTATCATTCAAAATTTGAAAATTATTGTATAAACACAACATTATGGATAGTGTTATACTTTCTTTTTTGCTAACGAAAGTGAAAGTAGTAGGAAGAGCTAGGAACCTATAGGAAATCATCATCTAACAACTTAATTCATTATAGAAAGGATATGTAACACCATTACAATCATTACCCATTCACAATATAAAAGAATATTCATCTGGTTTGCCCACAGTAACTTATAACATGCACATTCATTATATAAGAGCAATGGAACATACCTTGTATGGTTGAGAATTGCGTTCTTTGACAAATGCTTACCATTATTCCATTGACTCAACATTATCTGGCTTGAGAAGAGCAGCAACTTGTGTTCGCCAATTTTTCTTCCTTTGTCGCTGATTGTTTTTGGCATATCAGATCGATGATCTCTCCAACTCTTTCCATATTTTTGCATAATGTACTTTCTATGACAATGTCAATATCAAACCTTTGCTACATCAAAATACACAAGATTTAATTTACACTATATGTGATGTGAGGTGTATATCACCTGCACAAACTCCCATATGTCATAAAGAAAACTTTCGTTGAAATCTTTCCAATTTTTCTTTTTAATAGGTATAAGTTCCCTAGCTGTGGTTCCAAAGAACGATGATAACTTATTTGATCCTTTACAAATTGGTTGCCCTCTTTCATTAAATTCTACAGTTAACTTTGTACATTTTCCCTTGTTGAGATAGTTCAACTTTGCTCGACCCCTTCCTTTCTTTACTTTTTCAGTAGTACTGAAGCTATTTAGCAAGACTTCTGCATCATGTTGCACAGATTTAAAACCTCTCTCTGATATTTTTATGCCTTCATTTCCTTCTCTTGTGGCAACAACAACCGAAGCTTTTTTAGCTCATTTTGATTTCTTGTATCCCTGAGTAGATGACTGCATTGCACAAAAAAGAAATGATAATTTTTTCTTAAATTTAACATGAAGACATTTGAAACCCTTAAACACAACCTCATAACTTACTTCACCATGATTTGACATATTATGTCCACTCATTTTGCACGTCAGTTTCCACAAAAGTCAGCTTTCATCATTTGCATCTACATAAATAAATTAAGAAATAATAGAATTAGAGACATTAACATTAATGAAATATCAATAAAATATAATGCAAGAAAGAGAGAATCTTAAATCTATACAATTACCATATTCAATATCAATGCCATCACAGTCATATCTCACGTAACTTTCATCTTCAACAGTCATATCAAGTCTTAATGATGCATCTACTGTGGATGGAGTATAAGCATCATCATCAAAATTTTCTGACTCATGAAATCCTCTAGGAGGTGCCTTCAATACAATATACCAACTAGACGTATCACTTTCTCTAGAATAAAAAACTTGCTTTGCTTGTGATGCTAAGATAAATGGATCTCTTTCAAATTGATGTTGTCCTCTATGATGATTTACCAATGTAAAACCTTTCTTCAATCTTGACTTCGCTATCTATATTTGCCCAATCACAATGAAACATAGGAACTTTAAAACTATGATAGTCTAGTATAATTATATCTTTTATAATACCATGATAAGAAATTTTACCAACTACATGACTTGTATCCTTCACACTAGATTGGCATATAGTTTGTGCCTCAATAGAAACACCACTGTTTTGTGTACTTCTACTAACATCGGTTGTATGAAATCAATGTCCATTGATAACATAACCAGAATGTGACATCACCTCACATCTTGGTCGTCACGCAAGCCATTTCAATGTCCTTGACATGTTACAATTGTCTTCTTTGCCTTTTTCTATAAACCAAGAAGTGAAAGTCTCCATATTTTTCATTTGTAATAAGGTTTCATTCTTGGCAGCATGGCTATTTGTATTTTTAATCTCCTCTATATGCATCCTAAATAAAATAAATAAATAAATAGTCAGACAAGTTTACGAGAAAATATTAATCAATGCAAAACTAACTTATTAACTAACTTGATTACATTATATACGGTTCAACTGCTGCACTATTAAACAACACGTAACGATGAGTGACCTCTAACATTTCTTGACTCAAAATCTTTGACTTTTGTTTAGAAACGGTACGTCCATCAATAGTTGTGTCATTCTCAAAATCCTCATTTTGATTATATCGGACCCCTATCTTAGTAGCTTGTTTCATATAACCACTACAAAAAAGCATACATTTATCGGCTAAATAACGCTTTGCTTTGCAGCCTTCATGTCTTGAACGATTTCTAACATATCTTTTAAGTGTCTTCATAAACCTAATTCACACATAATATGCACGAGAGACCTAAATAATTAGAAGAAGAAAGGTTGAATAAGTACAAAAGTATAATGCTAAGTTACCTCACAAATGGGTACATCCAACGATATTGTATAGGTCCGCCAATACGAACTTCATGCCCAAGGTGAATGGTTAAATGAATCATTATGTCAAAAAAAGAAGGTGGAAAAACCTTTCAAGCATACATAAAATCACAGCAACATCCTCCTCATCTTAATGTAACGAATAACAATTGTTGTATGAGCACGTGACAATCATGAGACTTTAGATTTAAAATCCTATCATTTGTTATTGAGATACACTTTGAAATGTTAGAGCTATAACCATTAGGTAATCTTAAATCAAATAATCTCTTACAAAATAACTCTCTCTCTTTTTTAGATAGCATGTATGATGCTACGGGTAGGTAATATGAATTTCCTTTCAACTTTGGATGAAGATCCTTTCTAATACCCATATTAAGCAAATACTTATGAGAATTGAGCCCATCTTTTGATTTTCCTTTCATATTCAGAATGGTGCTAAGTATGCTTTCACAAACATTCTTCTCAATGTGCATTACATCCAAATTATGACGTAAAAGTAGTATCTGAAAATAATGATATAAATTTAGAAAAAAAAAGTTATGCAAAAAGATAACTAAATTCAAATAGTTTGAAAAACTAACCTCCCAATATGTAGATCAAAGAATATTGATTTCTTTTTCTATGGCCAATGGGAATCTAATTTTTTTTGTTTCTTTTTTTTCACCTTTTTCCCCCAATCATTGCTAACATTCTTTATTGAACACATCATTTCTCGACCAGTTAATATTTTTGGACTAGGCGTGTAATCCTTATTTCCATCAAACATAGCTTCTTTCGATCGAAAATGATTATTATATGAAATAAATCTTCTATGACCTATATATGCGAACTTTCGACTATATGTCAACCATTTTACACATGCGGATAAACCACATACAGGGCATGTCGCCTCGCCCTTTGTAGGATATCCAAATAAGTTTTCATAAATTGAAAAATCATTAATTGTCCACATCAATACAACCTTCAAATTGAAGATAAACTTGGTAAATCCATCATATATTTCAACACCGATATTCCACAACTCCTTTAGGTCTTCTCTAAGTGGTTTTAGATATACATCTATATCATTTTCAGGTTGCTTTGGACCTGGGATTAACAAAGTCAATAATAAGTTTTCCTTGGACATGCATATCCAAGGAGGTAGATTATATATAACTAGAATCACCGGCCAACAACTATACCTAGAACTTAGGTCACCAAAAGGATTAAATCCATCGGACGAAAGGCCAAGCCTAAGATTTTAGTGGTTCTGATGCAAAAGAAGGCTGTTTTTGATCAATTCTCTCCCAAGCTAATGAATCAACTGGATGACACATTTTTCCATCTTGACTTTTGTGATTTAAGTGCCATATTAGTTGTTCTGCCGTGTCAGGTGACCTAAACATTCTTCTAAATCGTGGTATAATTGGAAAATATCGTAAAACTTTTGCAGGTATTCCCTTTTGAATATCCTTAGTCTGCTCATTAACTTTCCAACGTGAAGATGCACATTTTGGACATGTCTCCAAATCCTTTAGATCCTTTCTAAACAAACAACAATCATTTACGCATGCATGTATCTTCTCATATCCCAAATCAAAGGTTTTCAACAACCTTTTTGTTGAATTACAGGAATCGGGAAGAGTGCTCCCATGCGGTAGCATGTCTCGAATTATTTCAAGAAGTTCATTGAAACCATTATTAGATATACCACGTGTAGTTTTAAACTTGTATAATACAACGATTGCAGATATTCTTGTATACATTGTACAACTGGGATATAAAGGAATTTCAACTCCCTTGTATAAATTAGAAAATTCTTTCTTTTGATCTTTATTCTCAAGTTCTATGTTATTGTCATCTTGAAGAAATGCATATTTATACATCCTATATGTCTCAAAATTTTCTACATCTTGAGGAGGTAATGATGCATTTGATTTTTTGCCACGAACACCCACGCAGTATAAGTAAGATCCATCCCATGAATGATCAAATGCCCATACTTGTATCAAAATGTTGGTAAAATAGGTTTTTGCAACATTTGCAAGGGCATATGACATTTTTTGGATTCCCTGCATTGGCTTGCACCATATTTGCAAACTTTCTTGCACCATGTTGATATGCCTTCAAAACTCTATAATAAAATACTAAGTAAATCATCTAAAAGTGTATACGAACATATTTAAAAACACTCTAAATTTAAGGGGATAAGATAACCTTAATAGGTGTACCCAATTTTTATCCATGATGCTATACCAATAGTATTAAGACATAACCTGTTATACAATACATTTTTTTTCAACCATTAAATGGTTATACGAAAAAACACTATTTTTTCTGCTCAATCCTAATGAACACCTTACATAGGAAGCATCTGGTCAAATATCTCCAAGTAAACATATGTTCAACCAGAATAATTTAGACCCCAAATAATTGAACCACTCTATAATTTATCACAATTGTGACTAAAGAGAACAACTTCAACGATTATCGGGGTGCTTCTGCACAATTGACTAATTATGCACCAATCCTTTATTCCTCAAAGAATAAAACGTGTCAGTTTATATTTAGACACACACACAAGCAAAAGGATTAGAGAGCAGAAAATTTTAATATAAAATTTAGTATGAAAATTATTCGGATCCTTATTTTGGTCAGGGTAACCACATAGCCTGGAATTTAAGCCTTAAGGCAAGATTAGTGTGCCATCAATTGGGTAACCATTTGCCAGAGAAAAGTTCTACAAATAAAAAACATCATTCTTAAAATGAGTTTGGGAGGAAGAATTCCAAGATTTTAATATTTTTGGGAGGAAACCACAACACAACTTGGAGAAATTTCCAATTAAGAACCTCAATTTACTTATGAATGTTTATGGTTATCCACTTACGTAATTTCCAATTAAGAACAAATTTTCACTTATGTTGAAGTGGAAATTACTCAAAGAGAAGATGGTTATCAACAGATATGGTTCTGTTGATAACCATATACTTGTCTACTGAGCAAAGTAAGTTGCTTATTTTTATCTTTTTTTTTTCCTTGTCCTCTTGTTCGTTCTTTGTTAGATTTACTAATTAGAGAAATATTAATGCATTTATAGAAACCAACTAAAAGTTCAAATAAACCATTGGTCAAAATATTAGCAAGGACTAAATAGTGGCTAAAAAGTCTTTTATTGATCAATGTTTGGTAACTGGCCCTTAATTCGAATGCTTATTATCTATTAATATTGATGGCCAAAAACATAAGTGTTGGTTTCTTTATGTGTCATTGTAACACTTCTCTATAATAGATAATAGATATATTTGAAGTGATGTAATTGAACAAATTTCCAATTAACCATTATGGTTATCAACAGAACTTGAAAAGATGGTTTCCACTTATGTTGAAGACATGTATCAAAGAGAAGCAGTTATGAATGTTTATTGGAGGGAGAAGTCAAATGAAAGAAAAATGTGAAAGTGATCCTTTACCAGCAGTATTGTCCACTTTGTTATAATTTGTTTGTCTTGATTGTTCTTACAACTTCCCTTAGGAGAGCATTCTTAGTTGTATCCTTATTAGATGCCTATTTTGGGAGCCACTGGCCTAAAGATATGCAAATACTAATCAAAGTGATTCTTAAATCCAAGCGTTGGATTTCCAACTGTTTTAAAGTTATTGTTATCTACAAATTATTCAAATTTGATATATTGGTACTTAAAAGATCTTCATGCCACTCATTCATCGAATTCACGTATATAAACATTGTTCTTCTGGCTACAATTAGTCCTATGATTCATCTTCTCCGAATCTTGTTCTAATGGTGAATATGAGAATAGAAATCCCAAAATTTAAATCATAGCGCCCAGAAAGACACGTTTCGATTTTTTTTCGTTGTCATCTCAACCTTATTTCAAAAAATCTACTAGAACATTAGTTTCATTTCATCAGGCAGAAACCAATCGTTACTTTCAACCTCTATACCATTACCATAAATTCAAATCACATTCAAATCATACATAATAAACGACTCTTCTCAAAGTCATTACGTCAAACACATTGCCCACACAATTAAATCTCTAATCAAATATTTAGAAAAATGAGTTCTCAAACAGAGGCAGAACCAAAGCATATTTATTTCGCACAAAAATATAGAGTGATTGCACTTACCAGACAGGAGGCCGGAAGCAGGATCTTCAAGGTACGTTCAAGGACTACAGACGAGCAGATTTATAGCAGTTATAAACTTCATAGTTTTGGAGGATATTCGAGAGCCGAGTAGAGAGTTGGAGATTGAGAAGTAGGGAGGAAGTGGATTTGGGAATTTCGTGAGTTACAATTTCAACCTAAACAGGTAATTTTGTTTCACTTTTTCCTTTGGGCCAGATAAGTGGAGAGCCCAATTTTAGATTTTCACCAAAGGCAATGAAAGTGTTGGACTGGGCCCAAAATTCAACCGGTCTATTACGACGTGCAAAGGAATGTCTGCCGTAAATATTTGATCTTTACGACCTGCAAAGAATGTATGCCGTAAAATATTATAAGTAATTTATCATTTACGGCATACATTTATAGCATGCTGTAAATAGTCTATTTTTACAGCATGAATCTTTTGCAAGTCGTAAATGGATGCCGTAAAAAGTTCATTTTGTTGTAGTGACTTCCCATCGGTTTCTCCTTTAATTAAATACAAAAATGCCTTTTTCTTTCAATAAACAAGGGTAAAATTGTCCTCACCCATTTCACCCCTTCTTCTCGCTATCAACTTAGTCCATAAGTAACAGTAGCAGCAATATGAATATGAAAATACTTTAAATGATTACGTTAAGTAAAGAAAAAATGTTGTGAACAACATTATATTTCACAATTCCACAACTACTGCCGCTATCATGTTAGGTTACTGGAAAAAAAAATTTAGAAACACATATTGAATGGGTGGTCAATTTATAAAGATTAATACTGGATGTTCACTTCTAGTTTATGCATATTAAGGGTGAAACCCACCGAG